GAAACTGCTAAAATGTAAAAAAAAAAAAAAAAAGAGGGGAGAATGTGATGAACTCACACACTGGCATTCTTTTAGACCCCTCAGTGATAATTTTGAAAGGACTGGGTGCAACAGTAATGGTAAATATAACTAGTATCTAGTAAACATTTTCAACATTCTTATTTATTAAAGAATTATATCATATATATCAGAAAAATAAAAGACTCATCTGAGATGAATGAATTTATACTCCTCTTTACTCTCTTTGCCACCATACAAACTCCCAACCTTTTGCAGCAGAACTGGAAAGAAGCTAGTTTCTATAGTATGAAAAATGATATTTCAATTGATCTATTGGGGTAAAAAGCTGTTTTGTCTAGACAGGATCTTTAGCTTTTTATTTTTCTTAGGTTGCAACAACATATTTACATATTATTATTAAAGTTTCTTTAGTTCTTTGTTCCTCTTTGTTAAAAATTCCTGTTTTGTTTTTTTTTTTAAGATTTTTATTTTATTTTATTTATTTGAGACAGAGAGAATCAGAGGGAGGAGGGTCAGAGGGAGAAGCAGACTCCCTGCCGAGCAGGGAGCCTGATGCGGGACTCGATCCCGGGACTCCAGGATCATGACCTGAGCCGAAGGCAGTCGCTTAACCAACTGAGCCACCCAAGCGCCCAAAAATTCCTGTTGTATTATCTTGTAAGGCCCAATGCCTTCATTAATCAGGTTATATGGTCATTGTTTCCAAAATTACTAACTACATTAGTTATTTGCTCTAAAATATTGTTTGGTAATTGTATTTATTAAGTGAAATAAGGTTTAAATGTTCAAATAACCTAATAATTATTTGGGCAATAAGATATCACGGGCCAGTATAGTTTTGTAATCTTGTTCTCTTCTTGGATTTCAAACTGGTACAAGAAAATCAGTGTAGGAAAAATTAAAAATCAGTTGCACACAATTAGGATTTCTTATAGCTTGGAAAGTGGCAGCCAGATTGGTACTGCAGATCTCTGACACATTCATTCAACATCTATCCTATGAATTGAGACCTACTATGTGCACAGCTTTGTGTCAGGTTCTGGGAATACAACAGGGAACGTGAAAGATATTTCTGCTCTTGTAATGCTTCACAGTCTAGCAAGGCAGATATTGGACAAACCATTACAGAGATACTTCTTTAAAACTATGAATACTACAACTAGGTAAAGGGTATGAAGAGGGTAGGCTACAAGGATTGGGGAATTTTCAAGCCAAATCTGAAAGATGAAGGTGATTAGCTGGGTGTGTGGTAGTGGGGGCGAGGGAGGACATAGTCAGTAGAGGGACGCCATGACAGGAAGTGGCTAATGAGCTGGAAGTACAGAGAGTGATGTGAGATGAGTCTGGATCACGCAGACTTCTGTAAGCCTTAATGGAGATATTGAATAATAGAAGAGCCACAGGAAGGCATTGAAATGTTCAAACCACATGAGAGACATGATCAGGTTTACATTTTAGAAGATTTGCTTTGGCTTCAGTATGGAAAAAGGATACACTCCTTTTATTTTTTTATTTTTTATTTATTTATTTTTTAAAAGATTTTATTTATTTATTTGACAGAGAGAGACACAGCGAGAGAGGGAACACAAGCAGGGGGAGTGGGAGAGGGAGAAGCAGGCTCCCTGCAGAGCAGGGAGCCCGATGCGGGACTCGATCCCAGGACCCTGGGATCATGACCTGAGCTGAAGGCAGTCGCTTAACCAACTGAGCCACCCAGGCACCCAGGATACACTCCTTTTAGTTGTATGTAATACTGCTGCAGACTAAGAGTAGTCTGAAAATTGATAATATCTTGTTTTCAAGTCTACTCTGTGATATCACCTGGAATTTGATTAAATGGTTTTAGCCAGTTATTTCTGACTTAATTCTGGGGTAGTTCTCGGAGACTCTGTTTCCAAATCCAATGCTCTTATGGAGTGTTCGCATGCTTTGTTCTTGAGCTTGCGCTATTGCACAACAATGCCAAAGAGCTGGTGTTTTCTCCTGTGGTTTTGATGGCCCAGAAGAAAAGAAGGGCATAAGCTCACCATCAACTTATTCTATGGGATATACCCATAATGCCTAGTAGATTGTAATAAAGTGAAAATGCAAATACCAGATGCTGATTTAGATCCCTCCAAGATATTTAAATATGGCTCAAATAATTTGAGTTCCCATATCTCCATCTCTAACATGTTTATCATTAGTTTAATGTGAGTTGTAAGGGTATCTGTCAAAGTCTTTTTCATTAATGAGACTCATAAATAACATTGTCAGCATATTTTAATAATTTATTTCCTACTGCTAAATCCAAACATGCCAAAGAAAGAAGAAAAATACAGAAATTACATAATTTTTATCACATCTTTGGAAACTTTGGTAGGATGTAACAAATCAGTAAGGATTTTAAGAGAAATATCTCTGTCACCTCCAGAAAATTCTTCTGTGCAGAAGGAAAGAAAATACCAAGTACATTCTTGACTAGTAGGACTTTGTCATGTGGGGGTCCTAAGGCTCTACTCTTTCCATGTGAGATCCTCATTAACAATATCCAGCATTGTACAGATTGATAATCTTGTGTTATTAGAGAAGAAAAAACTCATTTTTCTAAAAAAAAGAAATAGCTGCAAATCAAGTATACTCTAAATACTAACCATGAATTACAAAAGATAAAATAATTTATTCTCCTTTTGGAATAATTGTAAAATGAAGAAACGTGTAATGAAGAAAAACATCCTAATAGGATCTTCATACAGAGTTAAGTGCTGTTCGCATGTGCATTTCTTTGTAGTCATTTTCCCTTTCATATTTTTAAAAATTTTTTGAAACACAATTTTGTAGCTGTATACTTTGTAATATGGCCATGCTATTATTTGCTTATTTCCTTTTGAAATATGGAAAAATAGATAAGAAAAAAAAAGTTATCTCACAGATAACCACTATTATCATTTTGACATATAACCTTTCAGTCATTTTTGTTCATGTAGTGTATTTATTTACAAGAAAAACCCCTTTCTATATTTTTAACATATTTCCCCACCTATCAACATATAATGGACATTTTTCTGTGTTATTAACTATACTTCCATAATAGCACATTGTCTCCCAAATTTTAAATAGCTTTAAAAAAAATGATTATACAGGCCAAACACAGCTAGTAAATTTAGGTTATCTGGAAAAGTATCAAAAGAGTGAGAAATCATTAAAATTTTAACCCTCTCAAAGTTACATCTATCAACTTTCGGGTGACTGCCCTTCCAAATATTTCAATCTGTACATATTTAAAAATATACACAAAATTTTAAAATGTACATGTGGTTTTATTATTTTCTCCCTTACACAGTGTATTTTGGAGAGCCTTCTGTTTCAATGAGCTAGAAATAAAATTTTCCTTTTAGTATTTGCATTATTTTCTATAATGTATTTATTTATATTATTGTTCATTATATTTTCATTACTGTGATAGCCTGTGCTATGAATCTTTCTACCTGTTTCTAATTACTTAAAGAAGTAATTGTTGGATCAAAGACTATGAAAAATTTTAAGATTTCTCATATATACTGATACATTCTTATTTAAAAAACTATAAAAATTTTTATGCTTATTTTAATACTAATACATGTAATAATAATAGTGTTATCAATTTATCAAACTCTTATGTGAAAAACAGTGTGCTAAGTTACACAGTGAGTCACTGACCCAGGTTGGACTCGAGAACCTGCCCTTTTGACCATTCAGCTATAATTAGCATCATGAGTATATGAGAGTCCCTGCTTTTTCTTCCCGGAATCCTCTCAGGGATTTTAATCTCAATTCTTTGAACACCAGTGACATGAGTATCTTTTCAAAATTTGGAGTTCTTTTGTGTCTCTTCCTTATTAATTTTTCTTCCATGTCCTTTATGTACTATCGCTATAGTATTTTCTTTTTGCTTATTCATTGCTTGCAGCTACACATATATATATTTTTAAGATTTTTATTTATTTATTTGACAGAGAGAGACATAGTGAGAGAGGGAAAACAAGCAAGTGGAGTGGGAGAGGGAGAAGCAGGCTTCCCGCAGAGCAGGGAGCCCGATGCGGGGCTCGATCCCAGGACCCTGGGATCATGACCTGAGCCAAAGGCAGATGCTTAAGGACTGAGCCACCCAGGCGCCCTTGCAGCTACACATATTTAAAAAATAATATTCCTTGTCGTATAGGATGAAAATATTTCCTTAGTCTCCATTCTCTTTTGTGCTTAAGGAAGATCATGTTTCTGGGTGCTACCACACTCTCCAAAGATATCCTTTTACCCCTGGTTAGGTATGTGCTCCTCCTCAGGAGCTAACATTACTTCACTGGTACTCAGGAGTCCTTGATCCTATTGTTTCCATATAGAGGAGGTAGAGGGTGAAGGAGATCTGAAGAAGGACATGCCCTGAGTTCTGGAAAGAAAAGTTTGTCACAGATTGTCTATGGCAGCATTCTCTATTGCATATGGTAATCTAGATATTAAGATATTAGACCATACAATTGCTTCTACTGTACCCCATTCAGACTGATTAGATTTCTTCTGGGAATCACTGGGCAAAGGCTTTATTTCTTCTTCTATGAAGTGCAGCATGCAACAGGCCTGGGCAGTTTTTGTGATTATACCACAATTTGTCTAGTCTTATAAATGATATCTATCTCAATTGAATATTAGTTTGAAATAGACTTTTTCTTAAACTCAACCGCACAGACTTGGAATGCCAGAACACTGATTTTCAGCATAAGGGATTAAGGAAATAATAGCTGAAGAGACAGACAAGGGAATGACAAAGTATCATACTTGTATAAAGTATAGACATTTGCACTTTATTTAGGAACTTCAAGATCCAATTTGATGTGCTACTTGAATGTCCTAAATGGTAAACTAATGGCCTGAGATTTTCAAGATTTCTTTCAAAAATATCAAATGTATTATCCTAAAAACATTTGTTTTATTGTCAATTTTTGTTCTATTTCTTTGTCTCTTAGAAGGCAAATGCAGAAGGACTTATTGAAGAAAATCAAAGGAGACAGCTAAACTAGAGAAAAGAGAAGAAGAAAGATGGAATAATTTGTCCCTGTATATTGAAAAGGAAATTAAAGAAAATCACAGTTCTGGAATAAAAAGACTAGAAGATTTTCTCCAAACATGCTTTGTTAAAGCTACAAAATTTACTGCAGAAATAGTAGGATTAGATGCCTGCTTCAAATTATGGATAGAATACTGTTCAAAACCAGGTATATAAGTATGTTAATTTTAGAAGTGTTTTTGAAATAAAAGGTCAAAAGAATTGGTATTGGCCACATAATTCTTATTCTTCTGTCCTGTATGACTTTGGGAAACTTTTTGATGTCTAAAGAATAAGATTTTCTCTTGTTTAATCCAGTAATAACATCATGACTATTTGTGTATGTGATAGGTCTTGGTGGATGGATTCAGTTTGAATTTCAATTCAGGAAACAGTTCTTCAAGATCAATCATGAGCTAAGTATCTTGTTAAGTACCCACGGGGCTTCTGAAGAGAATAGCACTTGCTGTGCTCTGAAGGTGGTTAATAATCAGTATCTCAAGGGACTCAGGCACATGCTGAGCTAACTGCAACAAAATGCAGTAACCACAACCATATATATATATATTTATATAATTTTTACACATTTATGGAATCATCATAATAATTTATATGTAAATTATAAAGAGTTTTAGTCAATATGATTTATTTTTATAAATTATCATTTATTATAATATAAAATAATATATATTATATTAATATATTATATATGTATAAATTCTTATTTATTTCTCACAATTCTTTGAGGTAGGTTCCAATACCCTGATATTACATGTAAGAAATCAAGTTTCCAGGAAAACAAATTATACCCAAATGTCAGTGGAAGAGCAAGGATTTTAATATAATACTCTTTATCCAAGGAATATGCACAAATTAAATAATCGGCAAATTGGGGCACAACCATGTTGTGAATTAGGGCCAGAAAATGAACATTTTTGATTGGAGGGAAGATGAAAGACATTTATCTCTTAATTATGGTCACGGGAAAGTAAATATTAAAAGCGTAAAACATGGAAAGACCCTCTTCTTAAAAAATGTCAGTGCAGCCCATACTCTATATTAATCCTTATAATTAATAATAACTCCTGCCATTATGGTATCATTTTATGTGGATTAATTTGCTTAAATCGTATAATAGCCACATGAGGTGAGACTTATTAGTATCCTCATTATACATATAAAGAAAATAGGGTTGGAGATGTAACTTTCCAACTTCCTAAATCAAGCACAGGCAAGTTAAATTTGAAGTTCAGATAAACAATTAATTTTTAAAATATAAGTTTGTGTCATGCAATAATATTTATCCCAAACTGGGTCTTCTATATTTTTATTTGCAAAAGCGGGTATTACTCCTTTAACTTAAGAGCCCACCTTAACTGCTACTGTTCTAAGCATTAAGTGAAATGATGTATGTAAAGCATCTAATATATTGTCTGGATGTAAACAATGATCAATAATTGGTACTGTCCACACTTGATTTTTATTCATTTTATTGCTTAAAACTCTCTAGGTCCAGCAGTTATTAAGACAAGATTTGACACTTTTGAGTGGCTCAGTTGGTTAAGTGTCTGCCTTCAGCTCAGGACATGATCTCAGGGTCCTGGGATGGTGCCTGCTCAACTGGGAGCCTGCTTCTCCCTCTCCCCCGTCCCTGCTCATGCTCTCTCTCGCTATCTCTTTCTCAAATAAATAAAATATTAAAAAAAAAAAAAAACAGAGAGAGAGAGAGCATGGACAAGTTCACGAGAGAGAGGGAGGGAGAGGGAGAGGCAGCTATTCTCAATTGTGCTGTGGTCGGATAAATGCTCCGTGGAATAGCCACTGATGACTGCAGGCTTCTTCCTTCCCCGCAACTGTATAAAGCAGTCAAGAAGCTCTTGGCTAAATCAGAACTTTTCTCTTCACCCAGAAGGGACTCAGGGTGTTCCTTCCTCTCTCTTTCCCTAGGAGAAACCTTAATTGCAAGCCTTAAAGTTGCACTGAGAGAAGAGATTCAGAATGTTTATGTTGCGAAGGATCATCTGTATTGTATGACCCAGTCCTCTCACTTTAGAGATGGGGAAACTGAGGTTTGGTGAAATTAAGTAATGCATCTATCATTGGATAGCTAACTCAATTTTTTAATAAAAAATCATCTGATTTCACCTGTACAGATGTAGATCACATTTATGTGGCATAGATTGTTGTTTATAGTTTCTAGCTGTCACATCAATAAACATTGTGTGATATATTATACATTAGGAAAAACTTTAAAATGGACCAGTGGGAACCATTTAGATATAAAGTACAGTTGACTCTTGAACCCAGGGTTGGGGCACTGTCACAGTCAAAAATCTGAATATAAATTTTGACTCCCCCAAACCTTAACTGCTAATAGCCTACCATTGACCGGAAGCCTTCCTGATAACATAAACAATTCATTAACATATTTTGTATGTTAAATTTACTAAAAAATGTATTCTCATAATAAAGTAAGCTGGAGAAAAAATGTTATTAAGAAAATCATAAGGAAGAGATAATACATTCACAGTATTGTACTTTATTTATTGAAAAAAATCTGCATAGAAGTGAACCTGCACAGTTCAAACCTATGTTGTTCAAAGGTCACCTGTAATTCTTTTATTAAGAAAGAGTTATATAAAATTGGTACTGCACTTTTTTGCACGTAAATTGTTCCAGACATTGGTTTACTTTAAATAATTTTTTGCAGTCTAGTCAATAATTACTGAATAGCAGATTATGTCTTTTACGATTTAAGGTTCTTGTTAGTCAAATGGTAGGAACTCTCCGCAATTTATTCACCAAAGCACTGCCAAAAGGACTAGTGATGTGTAGAGTTTTTACAAGAGATTACTGTCATGACACCTTGAATGATCAGGTACTTCGAAGATCTACACATGTAATGGATATTAACACATATTATGGCACTCCATTATGCAGTTGAAGGTTTTAATGTGAGGATAAATTAAATTCACAATTACCTTGACAAATACATTTGAATGGATTATTTATGTGATTTTTCTTATTTAATAGTTTGGTCAATGTTCAAAGAATTATATTTTCTATACAAAGTAGAATGCTTTCCTTATCTGACATTTTAACATGAGTAAGTAGCTTCCTTTAGTGGTGATGGTTTCAAACTGTAATGATTTCATATTCCCAATGTATTATGTGAGAGAGTGTTTTTTAATGAAATAAGCTTAAGTCCTTTTGAATGCATCAACCACAACATACATCTGTTACACAAATTCATTTCATTTTTCCCCAAATGAGATTGTTGTTTTAATGGAAATGTCAATGTGCACACACTGTGCCATCTAAAATATGTTATTAAGGTTTTTTTTCTCTTTTTATTTTTATTTGCATTTATTCTGCAGAATAAATTTTTGTTTTTGTTTTTGTTTCTTCAGTTTCTTCTGGGATATCTTTTTCTTCTGTGCAACCTCTTCTTCTGGTTTAGGAACAATCTGCTCTTTTTCAGTAAGGATCATCTCAATGTGGCAGGGAGAGCTCATGTATTGGTTAATCTGACCATGAGCCCTGTACGTTCTACGTCGCATCTTGGGGGCTTTGTTCACCTGGATGTGCTAATGTTTAAAAGTTAAAGCTTGAACTTTTTTTTTTTTTTTTTTAAGATTTTATTTATTTATTTTTTGAGAGAGAGAGAATGAGAGACAGAGAGCAGGAGAGGGAGGAGGGTCAGAGGGAGAAGCAGACTCCCTGCCGAGCAGGGAGCCCGATGCGGGACTCGATCCCATGACTCCAGGATCATGACCTGAGCCGAAGGCAGTCGCTTAACCAACTGAGCCACCCAGGCGCCCTAAAGCTTGAACTTTTTTTAAGCATCAAGTCAATGTTTCTCTATTTTTTAAATTTAATTAAAAAAATTTCTTCAAATTTTTATTTAAATTCTAGTTAGTTAAAATGCAGTGCAATATTGGTTGCAGGAGGAGAATCCAGTGATTCATCACTTATAACACCCAGTGCTCATCACAAGTGCCCTTCTTAACACCCATCAACCATCTAGCCCATTCCCTACCCACCTCCCTTCATTAAGCCTCAGTTTTTTTTCTCTATCTTTAAGAGTCTCTTATGGTTTGTTTCCCTCTCTCTCTCTTTTTTTTTTGTCCTCCTCCCATATGTTCATCTGTATTGTTTCTTCAATTCCATATATGAGTGAAATCGTATGGTATTTGTCTTTCTCTGACTGACTTATTTTGCTTAGCGTAATACACTCTAGTTCTACCCATGTAGTTGTGAATGGCAAGATTCCATTCTTTTTGATGACTAATATTCCATAGGATATATATACCACATCTTTTTTATATGTTCTTCAGTTGATGGACGTTTGGTCTGTTTCCGTAGTTTGGCTATTGTTGATAATGCTGCTATGAACATCAGGATGCACATACTCTTTTGAATCTATTTTTGTATCCTTTGGGTAAATACCTAGTAGTGCAATTGCTAGGCTGTAGGGTAGCTCTATTTTTTAACTTTTTGAGGAACCTCCACACTGTTTTCCAGAGTGGCTGCACCAGTTTGCATTCCCACCAACAGTGAAAGAGGTTTCCCCTTTTTCTGCATCCTTGCCAATATATGTTGTTTCCTGTGTTGTTAATTTTAGCCATTCTGACAGGTGTGAGCTAGTATCTCATTGTGATTTTCATTTATATTTCCCTGAAGCTGGGTGATGTTGAGCATTTTTTCATGTGTCTGTTAACCATTTGTATGGATTCTTTGCAGAAATGTCTGTTCATGTCTTCTGCCCATTTCTTGACTTGATTATTTGTTTTTTGGGTGTTGAGTTTGACAAGTTCTTTATAGATTTTGGATACTAACCCTTTATCAGTTATGTCATTTGCAAATATCTTCTCCCAGTCCATGGGGAGTTGTTTTGATTATTTCCTTTGCTGTGCAGAAGTTTTATCTTGATGAAATCCCAATAGTTCATTTTGCTTTTGTTTCCCTTGCCTCTGGCAATGTGTTTAGTAAGAAGCTACTATGGCCGAGGTCAGAGAGGTTGCTGCCTGTGTTCTCCTCTAGGATTTTGATGGATTCCTGTCTCCCATTTAGGTCTTTCATCCATTTTGAATTTCCTTTTGTGTATGGTGTAAGAAAGTGTCCCAGTTTCATTCTTCTGCATGTTGTTGTTCAGTTTTCCCAACACCATTTGTTGAAGAGACTGTCTTGTTTCCATTGGACATTCTTTCCTGCTTTGTCCAAGACTAGTTGACCATAGAGTTGAGGGTCCATTTCTGGGCTCTCTATTCTGTTTCATTGATCTATGTGTCTGTTTTTGTGCCAGTACCATACTGTCTTGATGATTACAACTTTGTAATACAGCTTGAAGTCCGGAATTGTGATGCCACCAGCTTTGCTTTTCTTTTTCAATATTCCTCTAGCTATTCGGGGTCTTTTTTGGTTCCATACAAATTTTAGGATTATTTGTTCCATTTCTTTGAAAAAAAGTTGATGGCATTTTGATAGGGCTTGCTATAAATGTGTAGATTGCTCTAGGTAACGTAGACATTTTCACAGTATTTTTTCTTCCAATCCATGAGCAGGGGATGTTTTCCATTTCTTTGTGTCTTCCTCAATTTTTTTCATGAGTATTCTATAGTTTCCTGAGTACAGATCCTTTGCCTCTTTGCTTAGATTTATTCCTAGGTATCCTGTTGTTTGTGGTGCAATTGTAAATGGGATTGACTCCTTAATTTGTCTTTCTTCTGTCTCATTATTGGTGTATAGAAATGCAACTGATCTATGTGTATTGGTTTTCTTTCTTTCTTTTTTTTTTTTTTTAAGATTTTATTTATTTATTTGACAGAGAGAGAGACAGCGAGAGCAGGAACACAAGCAGGGGGAGTGGGAGAGGGAGAAGCAGGCTTCCCACTGAGCAGGAAGCCCGATGTGGGACTCGATCCCAGGACCCTGGGATCATGACCTGAGCCGAAGGCAGACGCTTAATGACTGAGCCACCCAGGCACCCTGTGTATTGGTTTTCTATCCTGCCACTTTACTGAATTCCTGTATGAGTTCTAGCAGTTTTGGGGTGGAGTCTTTTGGGTTTTCCACATAAACTATCATATCATCTGCAGAGTGAGAGTTTGACTTCTTCTTTGACAGTTTGGATGCCTTTTATTTCTTTGTGTTGTCTGATTGCTGTGGCTTGGACTTCTAATACTATGTTGAATAGCAGTGGTGATAGTAGACATCCCTGCCATGTTCCTGACCTTAGGGGGAAAGCTCTCAGTTTTTCCCCATTGAGAATGATATTCACTGTGGGTTTTACATAGATGGCTTTTATGAGATTGAGGTATGTACCCTCTATCCTTATACTCTGAAGAGTTTTGATCAAGAAAGGATGCTGTACTTTGTCAAATGCATTTTCTGCATCTATTGAGAGGATCGTATAGTTCTTGTCCTTGCTTTTATTTATGTAGTGTATCACACTGATTGATTTGTGGATGTTGAACCAACCTTGCAGCCCAGGAATAAATCCCACTTGGTCGTGGTGAATAATCCTTTTAATGTACTGTTGGATCCTATTGGCTAGTATTTTCATGAGGATTTTTGAATCCATGTTCATCAAGGATATTGGTCTGTAATTCTCTGTCTTGATGGGGTCTTCGTCTGGTTTTGGGATCAAGGTAAGGCTGGCCTCATAGTATAAGTTTGGAAGTTTTCCTTCCATTTCTATTTTTGGAACAGTTTCAGAAGAATAGGTATTAATTCTTCTTTAAATGTTTGGTAGAATTCCCCTGGGAAGCCATCTGACCCTGGGCTCTTGCTTGTTGGGAGATTTTTGATTACTTCTTCAATTTCCTTGCTGGTTATGGGTCTGTTCAGGTATTCTATTTCTTTCTGGCTCAGTTTTGATAGTTTATATGTCTCTAGCAATGCATTCATTTCTTCCAGATTGTCTAATTTGCTGGCATGTAGTTGCTCATAATATGTTCTTATAGTTGTTTGTATTTCTTTGGTGTTGGTTGTGATCTCTTCTCTTTCATTCATGATTTTATTTATTTGAGTTATTTCTCTTTTCTTTTTGATAAGTCTGGCCAGGGGTTTATCAATCTTATTAATTCTTTCAAAGAACCTGCTCCTAGTTTTGTTGATCTGTTCTACTGTTCTTTTGGTTTCTATTTTATTTATTTCTGCTCTGATCTTTATTACTTCTCTTCTCCCACTGGGTTTAGGCTTTATTTGCTGTTCTTTCTCCACCTCCTTTAGGTGTAGGGTTAGGTTGTGTATTTAAGACCTTTCTTGTTTCTTGAGAAAGGCTTGTATTAGTTTATACTTTCCTCTTAGGACTGCCTTTGCTGCATCCCAAAGGTTTTGAACAGTTGTGTTTTCCTTTTCATTGGTTTCCATGTATTTTTTTAATTCTTCTTTAATTTCCTGGTTGACCCATTCATTCTTTAGTAGGATGCTCTTTAGCCTCCATGTACTTGAGTTCTTTCCAACTTTCATCTTGTGACTGAGTTCCAGTTTCAAAGCACTGTGGTCTGAAAATATGCAGGGAATGATCCCAATCTTTTGGTATGGGTTGAGACCTGATTTGTGACCCAAGATTTATCTATTCTGGAGAATGTTCCATGGGCCCTAGAGAAGAATGTGTATTCTGTTGCTTTGGGGTGGAATGTTCTGAAGAGATCTGTGAAGTCCATTTGGTCCAGTGTGTCATTTAAAGTCTTTATTTCCTTGTTGATCTTTTGCTTAGATGATCTGTCCATTTCAATGAGGGGGATGTTAAAGTCCTCTACTATTATTGTATTATTGTCCATGTGTTTGTTTGATTTTGTTATTAATTGGCTTATATAATTGGCTGCTTCCATGTTAGGGGCATAGATATTTACAATTGTGAGATCTTCTTGTTGGATAGACCCTTTAAGTAGGATATAGTGTCCTTCCTCATCTCTTACTACAGTCTTTGGTTTAAAATGTAATTTGTCTGATATAAGGATTGCCACCCCAGCTTTCTTTTGGTGTCCATTAGCATGGTAAATGGTTTTCCAGCCCCTCACTTTTAATCTGGGGGTGTCTTTGGGTCTAAAATGAATATTTTGCAGGCAGCATATCGATGGGTCTTGTTTTTTTATCTAATCTGGTAGCCTGTGTCTTTTGATTGGGGCATTTAGCCCATTTACATTCAGGGTAACTATGGAAAGATATGAATTTAGTGTCATTGTATTGCTTGTAAGGTGACTGTTACTGCATATTGTCTGTGTTCCTTTCTGGTCTATGTTACTTCCAGGCTCTCTCTTTCCTTAGAGGACACCTTTCAATATTTCTTGTAGGGCTGATTTGGTGATTGCAAATTCTTTTAGTTTTTGTTTGTCCTGGAAGCTTTTGATCTCTCCTATTTTCAATGACAGCCTAGCTAGATGTAGTATTCTTGGCTGCATATTTTTCTCATTTAGTACCCTGACTATATCCTGCCAGTCCTTTCTGTCCTACCAGGTCTCTTGGATAGGTCTGCTGCCAATCTAATGTTTCTACCATTGTAGGTTACAGACCTCTTGTCCCAAGATGCTTTCAGGATTTTCTCTTTGTCTCTGAGATTTGTAAGTTTTACTATTAGATGTCAGGGTGTTGACCTATTTTTATTGATTTTGAGAGGGGCTCTCTGTACCTCCTAGATTTTGATGCCTGTTTCCTTCCTCAAATTAGAGAAGTTCTATGGTATAATTTGCTCCAATATACCTTCTGCCCCTCTCTCTCTTCTTCTTCTTCTGGGATCCCAATTATTCTAATGTTGTTTCATCTTATGGTATCACTTATGTCTCGAATTGTGCCATCGTGATCCAGTAGTTGGTTATCTCTCTTTTTCTCAGCTTCTTTATTTTCCATCATTTGGTCTTCTATATCATTGATTCTCTCTTCTGCCTCATTATCCTAGCAGTTAGAGCCTCCATTTTTGATTGCACCTCATTAATACCCTTTTTGATTTCGACTTGGTTAGATTTTAGTTCTTTTATTTCTCCAGAAAGGGTTTCTCTAATAACTTCCTTGTTTTTTTCAAGCCCAGCTAGTATCTTTAAAATCATCATTCTGAACTCTAGTTCCAACATCTTAGTAATGTCCATATTGATTAGGTCCCTGGCAGTCGGTATTGCCTCTTGTCCTCTTTTTTGAGGTGAATTTTTCCGTCTTGTCATTCTTGCAGAAATTGGTCACTTTTCTGTTTATAGAATTTCAGCTATTCTTTTCTTTTATCTACAGTTGAATTCATAGGTGTTAAGAATGGTTTGATAGCGGGCGCCTGTGTGGCTCAGTTGGTTAAGCGACTGCCTTCGCCTCAGGTCATGATCCTGGAGTCCCGGGATCGAGTCCCGCATCGGGCTCCCTGCTCGGCAGGGAGTCTGCTTCTCCCTCTGACCCTCTTCCCTCTCATGCTCTCTGTCTCTCATTCTCTCTGTCTCAAATAAATAAATAAAATCTAAAAAAAAAAAAAAAAGAATGGTTTGATAGCTATATAGCTGAATTCCTGGGACCAGATGAAATTTAGGTCTCCTACTCCTCCGTCATCTTGAACTCTCCTTTGAACCAACTATCTTTTAAGGGTTACTTCCTATTTACTTAGTACCAGGTACATTGATGGCTAAAATTAGACATGTTTTCTCTATTGCCAGTTTAAAAATGCTTTGGGGCGCCTGGGTGGCTCAGTTGGTTAAGCGCCTGCCTTTGGCTCAGGTCGTGATCCTGGAGTCCCGGGATCGAGTCCCACATCGGGCTCCTTGCTCGGCGGGGAGTCTGCTTCTCCCTCTGCCCTTCCCCCCTCTCATGCTCTCTCTCTCTAATAAATAAATAAATAAATCTTAAAAATGCTTTGTACTTCTAGCTAGCATTAGTTCAATGAATTTTACTAGGAATTAATTAAAAAACAAAATAGAAACAAGCAAACAAAAAAGGTAAACAGACTAAAACAAACAAACAGAACAAGCAAGTTATAAATTTAGGAAGATGAAATGTACTTTGAACATTACTTCTCAGGTCTTTTGTAATACAGGCATTTGAAGGTTATATATTAATCTTAAAGTACTGTTTTAGCCACACTTGAAATATTTAATTTTTCAATCATTCAGTTTAAAGTGTCTTTTAATTTTCATTATGATTTATTTTTTGGTCCACTGAGTATTTAGAACTGTATTTCTTAATTTCCAAAATTACTATTTTTTAAACTATCTTTTTGTTTCATATTTCTAGCATAGTTACATTTAGGTCAAGAATATATTTTATTATTATATTCTGTATTATATTATATATAATATATAATACTATATTTTATTATCATATTCTATATTATATTTTTCATCCTTTGAAGTAAGTAATTTTCATGGTGGCAACATATGTTGGGGAAATGAGATAAGCAAAAATCTTAGTAGCATTTATAATAGCACAAAACATATGAAGTACTTTGGAATAAATCTTTAAAAAGATGTGCAAGAGTTTTATAAAGACATCTTTAAACTTTACCAAGTGATATTTAAATAGAATTTTTTAAAAAAGAATAAAACTATTTAAATAGAGATACATAGAGAAATAGTCCATGTTTTTGTATTGGAATATTCAATATTATGATTATAATTGCCTGAATCTGTAGATCAGTTTAGACACACATATTATTAGGTCCCTAAATTGTTCTGTAAATTCAGTATAATGACAACAAATCTTCCAGATTTTTTTTCCTTGTGTTTCCATTTTGGGGTGGGAGTGGGTATGCTTGATAGGAGGAATGAGCAATTGATTATCTGATTCTGAAATTTACATGAAGATGCAAAAGGACAAAAGTAGCCAAGATACACTTGAAAAAGATCAAGGTGAGCAAACTTGCTCTATCAGGAGTCAGAGTTTATTAGACCTATGATAATCAAGACAGTGTCCATTTAGGGATAAACACAGTAGCAAAATGTGCCAGAGAACCCAGAAACAGAACCTCATATAGATAATTTATTTAAGGAAGGAGTGACATTGCAAACAATATTGTATTTTTGATGTCCTTTACATGCTTTTCTTTTCCTTTTTTCTTCCTATTTTGAAGAAAAGTCCTTTGAAACCTTCTCTTTACTTCTTTACTTCTTCACAGTTCCTGTTACATAGCGACCTTTAAAGGATAACTGTTTTAGTAAAAATCAGAAATAAAGCATACACATAGGACTTTTGAAACGGAATTATTTGTTTGTTTTTTCCTTCTCATTTTCTTATTCTATTAGATATAAGGCATAATATATATATGGATCTAATTTTACTAAATAAAATTTTATTATTAGTTGAGAATTTTATAGAAAATTTTTAAGGAATTCCTGGATGGCTCAGTCAGTTAAGCAGCTGCCTTCAGCTCAGGTCATGATCCCAGGTTCCTAGGATCGAGCCCTGTATTGGGTTACTTGCTCAGCGGGGAGCCTGCTTCTCCATCTCCCTCTGCCTGCTGCTCTCCTTGCTTGTGCTCTCTCTCTGTCAAATAAATAAATAAAGTTAAAAAAATTTTTTAAAAAAAATCAAGTGTCATAAAGTTGTTCCTACTTTCACATATTATTATTAATTGCACTATTTTATATATTTATTTTTCAGTTAGCCAACATAGAGTACATCATTAGTTTTTGATGTAGTGTTCAATGATTCATTAGTTGCATATAACACCCAGGGCTTATCACATCACATGCCCTCCTCCAGATGCCCATCACCCACTTACCCCATCCCACAACCCACCTGCCTTTCTGCAACCCTCAGTTTATTTCCCAGAATCCAGAGTCTTTCATGGTTTGTCTCCCTCTCTACTTGCACGTATCACTGTGGCAAAGTTATAACAAATCCTTCATTTATCTTGCCTCCATTTACAGTCACAGGACTCAAGTTTTCTTTAGATTTCCAATTGGTATAAAATAAATGCTCTATGTACATTTACAGGCTAAGGACTGGAGTTATAAATTAATTTATTTTATAGACATTTTTGTCTGTATTTCAGTGGTGGGATTGTGGCACGTAAATAAATGTTTTATTTTGTAGTTTTTTCATATATTTTCTTTTCATGACAATCTATATTTTAACCAAAATTTCATTTGTAAATAAAAGTTACAAAATTTGTGTGTGTGTGTGGTGGGGAGGGTTGTTCATTTGTTCTTATTTATGAATTATTACCATGGCATGTAGAAATCTTTATTATAGTTTAGCTATCATAATGCATGGTAGAGCAATTTATTTTTTAATATATATTGTTAAAGTCTCAAATCCACTTTTATTCTTCTCAAAATAATGTTGGATTCTTTGACTAACTTTGTCAGTTGGTGAATGAATTACTGAATGTGGAGCGAGAAGGGAATAATAAGTTCTGGTAGCATAATAATTAGCATTTTGGAAAAAAATTGTAACTGATTTTTATGTTGTGTCTATTTAACCACACTGCCAGGTTTACTGTCTGGGGGCAGAAATTGGAGCAGAAGTTTGGAAACATCTTGTTATGATTTGGTGTCCCTTCCTGCACTTTCTGCTAGCGTAAGTAATCCTGAACATCTCACTGAGTAAGCCTGAGTTTTACATTCATTATTGTCACAATTAATAGATAGCTAATTCTATCTGGTCATAGGTTATTTAAAATAACCTCTAAGACAAAACCAAACCAAACCAAACCAAACCAAACCAAACCAAACCAAACCTCTCTTCAAAACTTATTTTCTTTGAATTTGGTTGCATTTAACTAGAAAGCATTTTCTCTCATCCTTTGACTAGATGTGATTTACATACTCACCTGATCCCTTAAGAACTTTGTATGAGAGTGATTTAATTTTCCTGTTTGTAGTTTGATATTTAGATTCTCAGAGAACAGGCAAAGGCAGTTAATTTAGAATGATCCTTCCAGTACACTTTTTTACTACTTTCTTATGCAAAACACCAAAAAAATGTTTTCAAAATGGGACATGTACAGTGCAAATGGATATTACCAATATATTTAGTCAATGCATTTCTTGAGGAAATTCAAAGTATTAGTTCTTGGTATAAAAAGTAACAACTGACTAAACTATGTGAACATAAATATAGTTTTTAATGTGTTCAAAATTAGAGAAGATTTTTATTCTCTTAAAAATCACTTTTTAGGGGCACCTGGCTGGCTCAGTCAGTAGAGTATGATGTTCTTGATCTTGGGGTCATGAGTTCAAGCCCCATATTGTGTGTAGAGCCTACTTAAAAAAAAAACTATTAAAAATAACTTTTTAATGATTTTTATTAGAAAACAAATGATACTATAGAATTGTTTTTCTGTGACAATAACAGCTTTCTTTCTTTCTTCTGACTTTCTTCTTTCTTTCTTTCTTTCTTTCTTTCTTTCTTTCTTTCTTTCTTTCTTTCTTTCTTTCTTTCTTTCTTTCTTTCTTTCTTTCTTTCTTTCTTTCTTTCTTCTTTCTTCTTTCTTTCTTTCTTTTTTTTTTGTTAAAACTAGATGGTTGGTGTTAACTAAAAGATACTGGCAACGTCTTGGGAGCACAATGGAAAATTCTGGCTCATCACAAAAAAGCTAAAAGAAACAACAATGAAAAAGAATAGAAAAGCCATTGTACAGAGTTAGACTAGGTATGACTATGTCAACCGAGGTGGGGGAGCTCAGAATTATTGAGCATACTCTATGTGCTTGTGACAGATTAGGGTCTCTTATACATTTAAAATAATTGGTCCTTATGTAACTCTTATTTTATTTTATTTTAATTTACAGAGGAAATAAAAAAGAAACTTAGTTCTAAGAGATTAAGTAACATGATGAAGTCCACATAGCTAATGGTAAACCTGTTAAACTTGAAGATGAAGCTCTTTCCCAAAGATTATCTATTTTGAAATAATGTGATTTACTGCAAATTTTAGTGTGACTAAGCATAATGTAGCTAGGGTGTTTTACACCTTATTTTATAAGAACAAAATCAAAGTAAAAAACATATATGGAGGGCAGTTTGGGCTTACAGAAAAATAATTGCTTTGAAATACTTTATTTCACTTGTGGTCTAGTGCTATGCTGTCATTCCTGTTTCACACCATAGGAATCTCATTTTTCATGTATTTTCTTGATATCTGGATTATTCATGTTTCTCTAAATCTTGCATTGCCTTTCAATTCCTTTATCTGGAATGACTTTTCCTCCACACTTGAGCAAATCCTAATTATTCATTATTTAAAAAATATTGTCTACAGGCACAGCTCAAATACTACCTTGATTCTCTCAGTTCAAGTGCCATAGTATGCCCTACATTATGACATTTTGTACTGCCTATTATAAGCATTTTTATATGCTATATTTTCTTGGAAAAATGCTAGACATTTAAAATATATACATTTAAGTAGACACTATTATTTATATAATATATTAAGTATATATATTTGCTTTGATCTATATCGTGGTGTCTTTTTTTTAAATTTTATTATGTTATGTTAATCACCATACATTACATTATTAGTTTTTTTATAATATCTGTTTTTTTTCTTTATTATGTTATGTTAATCACCATACATTACATCATTAGTTTTTTTATAATATCTGTTTTTTTTCTTTATTTTATTATGTTATGTTAATCACCATACATTACAATATTAGTTTTTGATGTAGTGTTCCATGATTCATTGTTCGCATATAACACCCAGTGCTCCATGCAGAACGTGCCCTCTTTAATACCCATCCCCAGGCTAACCCATCCTCCCAGCCCCTCCCCTCTAGAACCCTCAGTTTGTTTTTCAGAGTCCATCATCTCTCATGGTTCGTCTCCCCCTCCGATTCCCCCCCTTCATTCTTCCGCTCCTGCTATCTTCTTCTTCTTTTTTTTTTTTTTAACATATAATGTATTATTTGTTTAAGAGGTACAGATCTGTGATACAATAGTCTTGCACAATTCACAGTGCTCACCATAGCACATACCCTCTCCAATGTCTATCACCCAGCCACCCCATCCCTCCCACCCCCCACCACTCTAGCAACCCTCAGGTTGTTTCCTGAGATTAAGAATTCCTCATATCAGTGAGGTCATATGATACATGTTTTTCTCTGATTGACTTATTTCGTTCAGCATAATACCCTCCAGTTCTATCCACGTCATTGCAAATGGCAAGATTTCATTCCTTTTGATGGCTGCATAATATTCCATTGTATATATATACCACTTCTTCATCCATTATCTGTCCATGGACATCTTGGCTCTTTCCATAGTTTGGCTATTGTGGACATTGCTGCTATAAACATCGGGGTGCTCGTATCTCTTCGGATCCCTACATTTGTATCTTTGGGGTAAATACCCAGTAGTGCAATGGCTGGGTCGTAGGGTAGTTCTATTTTCAACTTTTTGAGAAACCTCCATACTGTTTTTCAGAGTGGCTGCACCAGCTTGCCTTCCCACCAACAGTGTAGGAGGGTTCCCCTTTCTCCGCATCCCCGCTGACATCTTTCCTTTCAGACTTGTTAATTTTAGCCATTCTGACTGGTGTGAGGTGATATCTCATGGAGGTTTTGATTTGGATTTCCCTGGTGCCAAGCGACGTTGAGCACTTTTTGATGTGTCTGTTGGCCATTTGGATGTCTTCTTTGGAAAAATGTCTGTACATGTCTTCTGCCCATTTCTTGATTGGATCATTTGTTCTTTGGGTGTTGAGTTTGATAAATTCTTTATAGATTTTGGATACTAGCCCTTTATCTGATATGTCATTTGCAAATATCTTCTCCCATTCTGTCGATTGCCTTTTGGTTTTGTTGACTGTTTCTTTTGCTGTGCAAAAGCTTTTTATCTTGATGAAGTCCCAATAGTTCATTTTTGCCCTTGCTTCCCTTGCCTTTGGCGATGTCTCTAGGAAGAAGTTGCTGCAGCTGAGGTCAAAGAGGTTGCTGCATGTGTTCTCATTTAGGATTTTGATGGACTCCTGTCTCACATTTAGGTCTTTCCACCATTTGGAGTCTATTTTTGTGTGTGGTGTAAGGAAATGGTCCATTTTCATTCTTCTGCATGTGGCTGTCCAATTTTCCTGACACCATTTGTTGAAGAGACTTTTTTCCATTGGACATTCTTTCCTGCTTTGTCAAAGATTGGTTGACCATAGAGTTGAGGGCCCATTTCTGGGCTCTCTATTCTGTTCCATTGATCTATGTGTCTGTTTTTGTGCCAGCACCATACTGTCTTGATGATGAGAGCTTTGTAATAGAGACTGAAGTCTGGAACTGTGATGCTTTGCTTTTCTTTTTCAACATTCCCCTGGCTATTCAGGATCTTTTCTGGTTCCATACAAATTTTAAGATTATTTGTTCCATTTCTTTGAAAAAAGTGGATGGTATTTTGATGGGGATTGCATTGAATGTGTAGATTGCTCTAGGTAGCATTGACATCTTCACAATATTTGTTCTTCCAATCCATGAGCATGAAATGTTTTTCCATTCCTTTGTGTCTTCCTCAATTTCTTTCATGAGTATTTTATAATTTTCTGAGTACAGATTCTTTGCCTTTTTGGTTAGATTTATTCCTAGGTAATTTATGGTTTTGGGTGCAATTGTAATGGGATCAACTCCTTAATTTCTCTTTCTTCTGTTTTATTGTTGGTGTATAGGAATGCCACTGATTTCTGTGCATTGATTTTACATCCTGCCACTTTACTGAATTCCTGTCTGAGTTCTAGCAGTTTTGGGTGGAATCTTTGGGGTTTTCCACATAAAGTATCATATCATCTGCAAAGAGTGAGAGTTTGACTTCTTCTTTGCCAATTTGGATGCTTTTTATTTCTTTTTGTTGTCTGCTTGTGTAGCTAGGACTTCTAATACTATGTTGAATAGCAGTGGTGATAGTGGACATCCCTGCCGTGTTCCTGACCTTAGGGGGAAAGCTCTCAGTTTTTCCCCATTGAGAATGATATTTGCTGTGGGTTTTTCATAGATGGCTTTTATGACATTGAGGTATATACCCTCTATCCCTATACTCTGAAGAGTTTTGATCAAGAGAGGATGCTGTACTTTGTCAAATGCTTTTTCTGCATGTATTGAGAGCATCCTACAGTTCTTGTTCTTTCTTTTATTAATGTATTGTATCACATTGATTGATTTGTGGATATTGAACCAAGCTTGCAGCCCAGGGATAAATCCCACTTGGTCGTGGTGAATAATCCTTTAAATGGATTGTTGGATCCTATTGGCTAGTATTTTGATGAGATTTTTTGCATCCATGTTCATCAAGGATATTGGTCTGTAATTCTATTTTTTGATGGGGTCTTTGTCTGATTTTGGGATCAAGGTAATGCTGGCCTCATAGAATAAGTTTGGAAGTTTTCCTTCCATTTCTATTTTTTGGAACAGTTTCAGAAGAATAGGTATTAATTTTTCTTTAAATATTTGGCAGAATTCCCCTGGGAAGCCATCTGACCCTGGGCTTTTGTTGGGAGATTTTTGATGACTGCTTCAATTTCCTTAGTGGTTATAGGTCTGTTCAGGTTTTCTATTTTTTCTGGTTCAGTTTTGGTAGTTGACACATCTCTAGGAATACATCCATTTCTTCCAGATTATCTAATTTGCGGTCATATAGTTGCTCATAATAGTTCTCATAATTGTTTGTATTTCTTTGGTGTTGGTTGTGATCTCTTCTCTTTCATTCATGATTTTACTTATTTGGGTCCTTTCCCTCTTTTTTTTTTTTGATACATCTGGCGAGGGGATGATCAATCTTAATTCTTTTCAAATAACTAGCTTCTAGTTTCCTTGACTTGTTCTACTGTTCTTTTGGTTTCTATTTTATTTATTTCTGCTCTGATCTTTATGATTTCTCTTCTCCTTCTGGGTTTAGGCTTTATTTGCTGTTCTTTCTCCAGCTCCTTTAGGTGTAGGGTTAGGTGGTATACTTGAGACCTTTCTTGTTTCTTGAGAAAGGCTTGTATTGCTATACTTTCCTCTTAGGAGCCTTTGCTGCATCCCAAAGATTTTGAACAGTTGTGTTTTCATTTTCATTTGTTTCCATGAATTTTTAAAATTCTTCTTTAATTTGCTGGTTGACCCATTCATTCTTAGTAGGATGCTTTTTAGCCTCCATGTATTTGAGTTCTTTCTGACTCTCCTCTTGTGATTGAGTTCTAGTTTCAAAGCACTGTGGTCTGAAAATATGCAGGGAATGATCCCAATCTTTTGGTATGGGTTTAGACCTGATTTGTGACCTAGGATGTGATCGATTCCAGAAAATGTTCCATGGGCACTAGAGAAGAATGTGTATTCTGTTGCTTTGGGATGGAATGTTCTGAATATGTCTGTGAAATCCATTTGGTCCATAGTGTCATTTAAAGTCTTTATTTCCTTGTTGATCTTTTGCTTAGATGATCTGTCCATTTCAGTGAGGGGGCTGTTAAAGTCCCCTACTATTCTTGTATTGTTGTTGATGTGTTTCTTTGCTTTTGTTATTAATTGGCTTATATATTTGGCTGCTTCCATGTTAGGGGCATAGATATTTACAATTGTGAGATCGTCTTGTTGGATAGACCCTTTAAGTAGGATATAATGTTCTTCCTCATCTCTTACTACAGTCTTTGGTTTAAAATCTAATTTGTCTGATATAAGGATTGCCACCCCAGCTTTC